CAACGAGTAATGGCTTTATACCAGTTTCTTAAATTGAAATTTGAATACTATCACCAACAGTCTTTCCTAGCATCTTCACACGTTCAACGATGGCACAAAAATTTGCTTTGTGCGCGTTTGAACTGCATAAAATTCAATTTGCCTGGATGATTCATCTCACATCTGCGTCAGCAAATCAGACCTAGAAAATTGACGTAGTTCACAAGGGCATGTCTTGGCGCGTGCATTAACTAACTAGATAGAGGTGTATTTCTGTTGAAGGCACTTAGGCAAGCCAACAATTTAAGCAGTAAAAGTTGACCATACTCTCGCGCTAACTTGGGTGTATTAGCGTAACTTTGTTGGACTTCCATTGAACGATTAGCGTCCGGCAAGATCATATTGTGTGTGACATCAAGCACGGGTTATTAGTTCCACTTTGAAGATAGGGTAACTTCTTGTGTTGGATTGCAAAGCATAGATATCTCTCAAAGGGATGCACGTTCTTCTTCTTGTGCCTTATCTACCGCAGTGTTCAGAACATATGAATGTGCATATTTATCGAATGGGAGAATCTGCGGGGTACTAGTCGCGGGAGATGGCACGTAAGAGGCGTGCCGAGTATCAAATGAGAGAGAAGATTTAGATTGTCTGGACCCAATGTGCGTTGACAAAAGTTGTAAAGAATGGAGAGGAGGTAAGCAAAGGAAGCCAGTAGTGTACGACGTGACTCATGAAAAAAGCAAGCGATCGGTATGTAACATCAGTTAAACAAATGGACGCTTGGAAAATATAAACAAGAATAAATTTCCATGTCTTCAAAATACCGAAAGCGTGAATGATTCATGTCTACTACAAACTTAGAGATCACAAAATTCTAACCTGTATTCTAAATCTATTGCTGACCTTTACACGTAGTCAGATTAAGCCATAAAATATCACCACAGTATTCCAGTTTGTAAGCGCCAGATTATCTGTCGCCAAAGTCCAGAAAGATGCGGACTCAGTATTGATATCTTTTGTTGATGGAGGTCACCAGAGGAAATGCTCGCATCCACCTGATGACCTTCACCTTAATCACGTTGAGCAACAGTGGTCGAAATAAATTATTTCGCAATAGGCCCAACAAACTGTTAATCTTAGTTCACACTTATCGCTCTCCGTACACTGTAAAGTCTGTGAATAAACCTTTCCTAAAAGGCTTTGGCATAGTATGTTTGATGAAGATTAGAATGAGTTTTGGGGTAACAGTGAATAACCCGTTCAACTTTGATCACTTATACGGCATCTTTTGATAATTTGATGATGATCTTATCATCTATTCTGCAAAGCACGTTTAATTATTTAGTAAATAAATAAATAAATAAATCTTTTATTCTCAACAAGGTGAAGCACGCCTTTACAGGCATGATCATTTTGACATAACGATGCATGATCAAGAATGTGCAAAAATCCGATATGTTTGCCATGGTAGTTTGTGTTTGTGTAGGGGGCGTGTATGTGTCATTGTGTGTGTATGTGTATGTAGCTGTGTATTTTGTGCTTGTAGTTGTGCTGCTCCAATCTTCAATGTTTGATATCGTCAGCAATATGCGAGTAGGAGATTGGTGTCCGTGGGTTGGATGGAATTGTCCGGATATCCACGGGGCAGTGACTTTATTTTGTGGCGAGTCACGACCGCCACGTCACAGTGTTGTTAAGCAGACTTTTGTGGCTTTTTATAGGGAGAACGCTTGCCAGGCGAAGCCCACCACGTCCTGGAACACTGCCGCCGAACTATTTGCTGGAACGGGTTAAACCCGAACCACCCAGCTGACACCACGAGGAGGTTGTTCGGCTAGCCAGCCACATCAACGCTGCGTTTAATCCTTGTACAATGACTGACAGTAAAATTAACACTGTAACCATTACTTTGATGCTATGTTGCACTGAACTACTAGCGGGTTGCACTCAACGTGGACGGTGAATATCAGTCTGGATATTATTTTGTGTCTTAAACGTTACAATAGTTTTCTTTTCAATCCAATCGCCTTATGCCTATACTCTTCACCCTTGACTAATATTACAAACGCTATATCACTGTTATTGTAATTTTAAAACTCGCCGACCGATTTTTTAACTGGTAGCTAATTGAATATCGGTGGCTTCCTTTGATCGGCTAGTTGACATTAACAAAGCTCTAAAAATGGTATTCCAAGTTGAGATGGAAGCACATCCGTGTTTCCCCCATGCTCCACAGGAAAGCAATTTGAAAACGTAGGTTTAGAGGAGATTCAAATAATTGGCTTTATATTTTCCATCGACACTGTAGATTGACTGTTAGAATAGAACCGCGACTGTCCAACAGGCAATATCTGATTTTCGACTTTTGCGAATTTTATATCTATACCTCTGTCCCATGGATTGCGACGTCTAGAACCAACAACACTAACTTACCCCTACATGTAGACAGTCAGTTTCGTTTGATGGTGTTGGTTCTTGTAATCACTTGTCTCTGGCAGAGCAGTATTTCGAATTATAATGCATCAGAAGCAAGAAGGACCAAGCTTTGAAAGACCACACTTCGTTTCATTTTAACTGTTACTTTTGCTTATGCAGAAAATGTAGCTATACAACTGCTGAACTTTATGTGGTCAGTTAATTCGACTGCTAATCTCAGCTAACCATTTAGGAGGGTTTCAACAAAGTGTTTTTACGGACATTATATTCTAATGATTGTTCGATGATACGAGGAGTATGCGGAAAGCACAAATTCAATTTTAGAAGACATTTGGTCATTGTTGACAGCTGAACGGAAGTATGCCTGAAATTCGTCTACCAGTTGAACTTGAGTCTAAGTGATCCTTTTTCCGTTGCTGTCTGCACTCTGACAGTTGAGCACATACTGTCCGAGCCGACTACTTTTGATGAACTTATACCCGGGTTTCAGTTGGCAGCGTAATAGAATTACCCCGACTGGATGTCATGGAAAACCAAATTTAAACTCAAGGTTTATTTTGGGGATAGTCCGAAACCCACGAAATTTTTGAATTGGTAGCTGTTAGTTCCTGTTGATATTACTGATAATAACAAGTCAAACGACAATTTTGTGAAGAAATTCTAGTAAGGAATTGTAGCATACGCATCATATAGAGAAGCAGTCCAATGATCAATGGCTATCTAGGTATATTAGAACTCAACAATGCTTCATTAGTTAGTCCTTAACAGTTCCGAACTGTTAAATCGGACAGCTATCTTCTAGTAGTTTATTCTTTGTGCGCTCACATTGACATGTTCTAGTGGAGAACTTACTCAATTTTCTCTTTGCTTAGACCGAAAGGTATAGTTCACCTGCAGCTAAGTATAGATCTGATATTTCATAATCATGAGACGTCTGCCGAGCACGCTATGGTGTACGTAATTATTTTTGGTTAGAAGAAACAGGTATATTTGTTCTGTCCATACGGAACGGATGAGGGCCTGTTTCATTCTTCTCAACTAAGCACTGCCATCGATAAGCCAGCGCGCTAAAACCTTGCTAATGAACCTTATCATTGTAGGAGTTCCACACGGAATTTTAAATAACTTCGACTTGTTTATTTACTGTAACTTGTTTGAATCGTCGTTGTTAAACCTAAATCTCTTGACATAATGTAGCCTTGCAGAGATATTTTGTGTCATGTGTAAAATTGCCAATTCTATCGCGAAATAAGGAACTAACTTAGCATTGCTAATTCAATAGAGAATGCATTAGCAGAATCATATTATATTGATTCACACGGCTTCAAGGTATACGGAGCACCATCATTTCCTCTCTAGGCCATATACAGATCGATCACAAACTCTCAGAGAACACAGTCTGCTGGCAGAGATTTGTTTTTCAGCAGCGTGCGATCTTGGTAAACACCTCAGTGACAAGCTTACAACACTCATCAAAGTATTCTAGTACCGTAAACTGTCCACAGCGCCAGTGTTGAGGTGAAGTTATCCTGGCGACGCTGTGTATGTGCACGTTTGGTTTGGCAGCAGCCATAATTTTGTGTTTCGTTAGATACACGGCCAAGTTTATAGGCATGCCAAATCGAAACACCCAGGCTGCCAGTAAAGTCACGTAACACTGCAGCATTGTTGCTGATCGATTATCCTTCGCAAATAGTTGTTATCTTCGTACCAGTCTCAGTAACCCATCTCCGAAACTAATTTTAACTACCTGGACATTGCCAGAATATGATAGTTTCTATCTTTACAAACTCCATCATGTACTTTTCATATGCAACAGAGAGAAGACTTATAACACAATGAAGTTGGAGATCTACTATGCGTTTGCTTAAGTTCCGTTTACGTATTTCGTGAACGAAATCCGGATCACTTGTTCATAGGCTCTTGAATCAAAATTACCTTCGCTAGATAGATATTAAATTACAAATCAACGCACACTAATGTCTGTCTGCTCTGTTCTAAACAACTTTAATAAATAACAAAATAACATTATTATCAAATTATATGAGTTTTGGTACTGCGCGAAAATACCGGTCCAACTAGGTTTTATCTAAGTAACATAGCTCAGCACGTATTTACTTCTCCTATTCTAATCACGGAGGGTTTTTAACGATCCGGGATGCCGTATATTAAAACAAAGGTATCCTTAATTATATTATAATTTAAACTGTCATCACGACTTTCTTTCGAATTAGGAATACGATTTTTTAAATTATCAACAGCCTTTCTACTTAGATCTTCATCACAACATATTTATCACAAACGAGAAACAATTCATTTACACAAACCGACGTATATCCGGCTACTTCTTAATTTTGCTTAGGCTATATAATAAAATGAATGTTTTGACATCGAAATCGTGTCTAGGTACAGTTCCGAAGCAGGCCGGTCTATAAAATTTTTACAATTAAAGTGAAGTTACCTTTGTCTGACTGGAGAAACATCGATAATGCACGACCTAGGTTTTTAGTGACACCAACCGATATATTTTGTGATATTTTGTCCTACGCTAAACCGAATCGCATCGTACATTACTTGCAAAGATGTTGCAATTTGAGTTCCTTTTCTTGGAATTAGGGCATTTCGGGAATAACAGAGTAGGGCCCCACCTGATGCCACTTTCGTGTGTGTGTGCCGATGGCGATTTTCAAATACAATTAGTCTCGAGGTACTACAATCACTCATTGTCATTTAATGCAATTACTGGAAGTGCTTACTGCTTCAAACGGGCTGGTTACCCCCAAACAAAATCACGTGAGTTGCTTCGTCCCCAGCATCAAACGAATGGCTCCCGAACGTTGCGCTCCCATAGCCAATTACTGTCTTGCACGTGGTTCCCACAAGTCATCACTGCCTGTCGCGTAGAAGCAGATTTATTTTGGCTTATGTTGACTACCACTTTTCTGTTCCAGATGAGAACAGTTTAAGATTCGAACATGAATTACTTATCCGTCTTTTCTAATTATTTAAAAAAATACAATATCAAAGTTATGATCCTTGTAAGACACGTTGCTGCAAGAAATATAACAACGCAAAATTTTTAAGTGCAACCATTATTCAAGTGAATGTCAAAAAATGTAAATAGAATACAACTATTTACTTGGTTTATCTCTCGTTTTTGGCTTTTTAGCTATGGCAAGAAAATTAACTTAAGCGATGCAGACTTCAAAATGATAATTTTGCAATGAGAGGCAGGTCTTGTAGACATGGGTCTCTATTCTTTAAATGTTAAACGTCATGCGGTTAAGATTTTAAGTATATTCTTGATGTTTTCAATAGTAAACTTTGAATGCACTTATCTTGATACAAACGTAGCCTTTTTTATCTAAATTAAAATCATTTGAATTAAAACACTGTTGTAAACGTGGAGCACGTTTATTTATCCAAGCAGAATAAATTCCGGAAATTCTGGTGGTGATGAACTCGGCGAATGCGGTTTCATCATCTCCTTGTGTTTTACGACATTTTTCTCGAAGGAAGTCATCTAAGTGTTTGAAAAAGTGGTAATCTTTAGGCGAGAAGTCAAGGGAGTATAATCGGTGGGGCAAATTTGCGTAGCCAAGTTCGTGCAGAGTCCGCAGAGCTGGTTGGGTCTCGTGCTGCCGAAAGTTATCGTGAAGGGGAGTTGGTCCCATTCTATTGAGCAGTGACGAAAGCATGTGTTAAAGTTTCCCGTGCATTTCAGTAATTTGTTAACAATGGTTCTCTGCTGCAATGGTTTCGCCTGAATTCAGAACGACTACCAAACAATTATCATAATACTTTTGGTTGCAAATTCGCGTTTGGTAATTCCTATGGAGCTTGTTTTTGATCCAAATAATAAGCAGTCTTTCGTCAATGGTTAAAAAGATCCACTTTTCATCGCAAGTCACAATTCAGTCAAGAAACGGAGTTCTTTTATTACACACTTCTTTGTTTTTAATTCAGTTCGTGCAGGACCCAGTGATAGAGCTTCTTGACATTCTAAACTACTGTAAATGATTTGAAAGTTACATGCGATACTTTTAACTCAGAGGCAGAATCTTAAAAGGGTTTACGCGGATCCGCTTCAACTAACACCTTTACTTAGTTTGTTTACTTACGATGACCGACCACAATGCTGTTCACTCCGTGCCACTTGTAAAACTTCGAAGTTACTGTAACTACCATAGTATATTACGGTCATTGACGGTTCTAAGATCAAATTCATTTTTGATGTCACGAGTCGTTTTCAATGCATTTCGCTCAAGTTTAAATAGGAACAATAAAATTGTGCGAATATTTTTCCGTCCATGTTGCATTAAATATGCTGTAAAAGTGTAAAAACGCATTTCGGTGTTAAACTCTCGCAGATGATAGAGGGAGCGAAACATATTTCAAAATTATAAAAACATTACTAGAAACCTATTAAAAAGTGAACAAAAAGTTACACATAACATATCAAAGACGGCAATAACTTGTTTAACAATCTAATATCAACCCAGCTAAGTAGATAAAAATTACGATTACCAAAATTTGCAGTAGTAGCAACCAGAGCAAAACTACAGTTTGTATCGGTAATATGTTTCACTCTGGGTCAGAAATAATGGTCACTATAGGAGTGTTAGCTATTCCACTCTACCTTGAGACAGTAGCGCAATTTTATGTTTGACCTGTGTCGAAGTGATTCCGTGACGTCAGTTTTGTCACCATGAAACTCAACCACGCATTTGTCTTACGTTCGGTAAATTACTGTACTTAATTTGCTCCCAGTGTAGGACACCAGGCATGGCCACTTTGACAATGACATATGTAATTGGAAAAAATTATTTTGCAAAACAACATCAGTCATGTATTCCTACGCTACTTATCGTTTAGTTTTTTACGGATTCTTCAGCTCTTTAACTTTACTGGACACAAGGACCAACTTCTTGTTGCATCACTAAGCAGTGGTAAGTTTTGATGTTAAGCACCCACAATCTAAATCAGCCTGATGATTGTAAAATATCCAAATGCCAAAATCAGAACTATCCGGTGAAGTATGAATCAATAGTTGGAGCTATGTGGTTCCTAAATTCTTAGTTAATGATTGTCTCCTTGTAATAAAATACACTTCATATTAGTGCACGGTCCCAACTCCGTTCATTCTCATTATCGTTCATTATCAATAAAGTAGCATGCGTGTGCGCACAATTATATTAGAAGGCGAATTTATTATGCAACTAGAAGGCGACACCATGCATATTGCATGAGGAACGGAAACTTCCGTACTTCCTGATTTCAGCAACCGAATACTCTGAAATGTATTAAGCGAGGAATGTGTGTTGCTCCCTTTGCTGTACTCACTGTGCTGCTTCTGTGCTTGATTCAGCATGGAAAGTCGCGTCGGTGCGAAACACATCAGTATTCTGTTTGTGCTTCATTTGGTTGTTTCATTTGCATATACTTATTCTGGATGTCACATCTAAGAAACTTTGGCGCGTTTATGTAGCCACAGCACGTACTACGTCAGTGATTTACAAACTGACGTAATCCTCAATGCGAATATATTAGTTCAGAATCAAGGGCTTTAGATAACAGCAATTGGGGATAGACAAAGTTGCATAGACGTTCAGACACCAGTATGCTTGGAAAGGGGTGTTCTATTTGAGCTTATCAACCGGTGATATGTAAGTCATCTGTTCTCACATTTTTCTGTACAATGTACGCATTTTTATTCTTTCGCTTGAACATTGTGCTGAAGCCGTGCAAAGCGTTTTCCGATTGGTTTCGGACTACTAAAAATCCTCATTCTGATAAACATCCAATAGAAGCATTCCATTTAACTTGATTCGTTTAAACCGCAAACCTGAAACTGCTTTGCAGATGGTTTTGCTGGCAGCGTTTTCACTTTCACCATGGTTCAGCTGACAGTTACCAATAGTCAATTATGACTACATGATCACATAAGTATACTTTCTACATTTTTAAATGGCAAAGGGTGAAATACCTCCAATGCATGAATCGGATCCTAACTGATTTATGTAGTAAAAACGGTGTTAGTTCTGCTGTCTGGTCATCACCTATGTAATTGGCACTATCACTGATCAATTTCTATCACTCTGTAAGAAACCTAGGCCAAATCTATCCTTGTTCACAGTGTCCCCAAGCTCCAGACATTAAGCGAGCTAGAGGCCAAAGCGCATGACTGCGATGAGTGGCGTTTTATTCGTGACGTACTCTCACTCGAAAATGTTATCGCTAATTCGACATCAAGGTTACCGCTATCACCTAACTACAAACGGTGTGGTCCCCGAGTAATGAAAGTATCCTTGTACTTCGAACTTGTGGCAGGACATGTGATCAAAATGTGGCACAAAAAACCTAAAATTCTGCCATCCTAAATAAGTGTTAAGGTGATAAGCATCGGGCCACAGATAGACAATGTAACACTGAGCAAGCAACTTACCAATACATATCTGTCACCGTGTAGCTCAGAAAGGATACCATGCCGAAACACACCGACGGCTGAAGGAGGACAGGATTGTCACCCACTTGTCGGCGCTGTGAGCTCTATACACCAACCTGCACTGGCCCTAGGGCCTGCGTCATCTGTCTTAAAATAAAACGACCGGCAGCCGACCTCGCAAGGGTCGGCATACACCCTCACCGAAAACCAGCATTCACTAACAAGCTTCGGATTACCGATGCCCTCACCTGCTTGTATACCAATGCACGCGGTCCTCTTAGCAAGCCAAACGAACTTCGTATTCGTCATGTCTCCACGCCTTGGGGCCTAGTTATAGTCACCGAAAAGTGGCTGAACAAGGAGATCGCGGATACTGAGATTGCACTACCCAGCATGACTACCACACGAAACGATCGACCTAGCACAGGAGAGGGAATGATCCTGTATTACCCATCCGATTTGCACGTTGGGATGTTTGCGGATCAAGAAACGAAAGTCGTCCATTCTCTTTGGTGTCGTATGCACCTAAGACGTAGCGATATGTATTTAATAACAATAGTTTACCGCGCCCCAATGTCCATCTTAGAAATGGATCAGTGCCTAGCTTCTGCGATGAAGCATGTCCTGGAACGACCACACAGTCACGTCCTTCTGGTTGGGGACATCAACCTGCACGCAAAGTTCCAGCGTCACACAGTGAACAAATCAAGGCTGATTTGTCAAATGCGATTGCTGATGTACCTCTTTACAATTATGTCACTTCTCACACGCTATTCCGAACGCCTGACACGCCCTCTGTTTTGGAAATGTGCTCTCTAACGAGAAGCTAATGGTCGACAACTTGACCATAGATGCACCACTTGGCCTTAGCGATCAAGCGATGCTGCACTTTGTTACATCTGTTGCTCGGAGTACATCAGTGAGAACAACGTGGAAACTTATGTCGTTACACATTACGATATCCTGTCAAACCTCGTTCAAGAAACCGAGTGATCCTTCCTAACCGAGAAGCCGACCGATGTCGCTTAGATGTTGTTCGTCACCATATTCAGTATGCTAGTGGCACATGAGTCAGAAAACAAGGTCCTTCGCCCGAAGCAATTGAATTCGTTTCTAGGGAGCTGTACTAGAAAATACATGGCCTTAAGAGATTTAAGCTGCCGCGCTTACAAAGCCTGTCCAAGTAACCTGACCTGGGGTGCTTACACAACTCAACGAAACCACTCGTCAACTAGATCCGCGAAGACAAACTTCAGCATCAACAAAAGTTAGTGGCGAAATTCCTTATATAACCCAAGTATAGGTAGAAATTCGTCACATCTAGACTCACTCAGACAGCCGTTACACGCCCGGAAAAGCACTGTACGCGCGTGTCATCCTTTCGGGAATCATCAGCAGTGCGCATTCCATCGGATCCTTGGGAGGGCTCGAAACCGCAACTCGACTGTTGCCAGTCCGTGGTTGAGACCACTGAGCTACGGGGGATGGTAACGACCATCGTGAATAAATAATAGA